ACACTGTCCCACACAACATCCTTGTCTCTACATTGGAGAGACATGGATTTGATGGATTGACCACTCAGTGAATAAGGAATTGGTTGGATGGTTACACTCAAAGAGTTGCGGTCAATGACTCAATGTCCAAGTGGAGAGCTTACAGCAGCCTTCCAGTACTTAAAGGGGGCTACAGGAAAGATGGGGAGGGACTCTTTATCAGCGAGAGTAGGGATAGTACAAGAGGTAATGGTTTTAAACTGAAAGAGATTAGATCCATATTAGATATAAGGAGGAAATTCTTTACTGTGAGGGTGGTGAGACACTGGAACATGTTGCCCAGAGAGGTTGTGGCTGCCCCGTCCCTGGCAGTGTTCAAGGCCAGGCTGGATGGGGCTTTGAGAACCTGGTCTAGTGGAAGTTGTCCCTGCCCATGGCAGGGGGCTTGGAACTAGATGATCTTTAAGGTATTCTCCAACCCAAACCATTCTGTGATTAGCACAACAGCTGCTATTACAGTTAACATCACCAACAAAAAACTTCTATCACTTAAGTTTCATAAGGTATGTAGGAGACTCTTTTAAAGAGTCTGTGATTTTGTGGAAGAGACAGCCTGCAACAGCAAACAAGAGGTGATACATAGCAGGTATTTAGCCCTGGGGGTGTCAAGTGGGAGTTATGCATTTCCTGATGCATACCAATAAATACTTTTCTTCTATTTCCAACTCTGTCATTACAGTACAGAATTCTTTAGTATTCCTAATAAGTCCCTGACAGAACCACATAACACCATATTCTGTAGATATTTTTTGTCTGGTTGCATATTCATATATGCAGCTACTAATGAATTTATGGCCTAGTACTTGAATTTCACATTCATATCTGAGTCACTCTTTAGTTGCATATCTATATTAATTACAGGTTCTTGTTTTTCCATTCCTTCTTCCAAACAACTACAAAGCATACTTCTGCTCCCCTCCCTTCCATTTTCAGACATGAATTCCCCTGTCCTTGCACTTGAACATCATGTTCAAAACTTCATGTTTATACAACCAAATAATTTGACTTTACTGAAAAAGTACATATAATGGGTATATTATATAAAAGTATATATAATAGGGAAGACAGATTCGCTTCATAGTTCAAGCTGTAGTGATGCTTGCTTTGCAATTTCTTTCTATTATTTTGAAAACTGCTTTTCTAGTTAATAACTGTCTCCTAGCATTTTAACACTGAACATGCATTAAGTCATAGCAGATGCTATTGTTCTAACAGACTAGCATTGCACAGAGAACTGATAATGCATAAATATATTTGGACATGAAATAAATTGTGACTTCTGTAAATCATTAAATTTCATTTTAAAAGAGTGAAATACTACATGGATTAACAAAACATTTTCACATATTGTTTATGCTTCACTTACCATTCTAAATCTAATGAGATGTTTCATGTGCATAATTCCTTTGCAGTAGTGTTGTGGAAGCAAACTGTCATCCTGTCCTTTTATTACAGCAACCAAATCCCATAAATTTTTGCTGCCTCCTGGAGGCTAAAATTGTTAGGGAAGAAAAGAGTTTTATTAAGTAATGTTCAAAAGAGAAATCTGAACTTAAAAAGACATTGGAAAACATTCGTCAGTCAATTCCAAGAAATACAATTTTAGACCATTTCAATATCAGAAGCTTTACTATGAAGACATAAATTAGTTCAAGACACTACAACTCCTTCAGTCTTCTTGAAGGCTGTGAAGATACAGCAAGATCCATGAAGTATTTGGTTATGTGTGGACATAGTTGAGGGCTTGCCATTAAGGGCTTTCCCTTTTACTCCCAAAGGAATATAAGCTCTCTGGTGGCTACTACTGGCATAAACCAACATTGAGCTGCTGGGATGCAGAAGCTGCCCTAATACTTGTTTACCATTTTCTGTAAAGCAAAGGCATAGGCCAGGTAAAAAAAAATTCAAGGCTTGACTGCTACAGTCTGGTTTCCTATCTTAAAATAGGCACATACAACTGTATATGCACAAAATGTTGCAGGCCATCAATGCATTTTTTAGAAAAAAAAAATAAAATTAAGCATTTTTATTGGTCTAACATTTGAATCAATCCTTCTATAGAGCTAGGACAATGGTTTAACACTGAATGAGGTCTAGAAGAGTGTGAGTAATTAAAAGCCTTGACCTGAAGGAACTTTTCTAAGAATAACAGGATTATTTCTGAGCTAGTAAAAAATGGAAGATCCTACAGGAAAAAAAAAACAAACAGATGCACAACACTATTTTCTGGACTCAAAAAGCACCACAGATGATCAAAAAAAGTTTTTGTTCTTGGAATATTCTAATACTCTTATAACATGGAATTCCATAAAACATATTTTTATTAAACTAGGAAATGTTAAGATTTGTAATCGAGGAAGATTGTTTCAGCATTTCTAAATCATATTCTTCAATCTAGATAGTAATTAAAGCAAATATTTTGGATGAACTAGATCCTTGTAGATTAGTGTAGTGATTTAAATTGCAACAGTACTTGACACAAGCTGTAGTTCCAGGTCATTTTTGTCCTTGTTCTACCTCAAATTCAGCTCCTATGCAGGTAAGCACTCACAGGGACCCATTAGTTTATGTTTTTAACTCAATTGCACAGTGATTGCAGTGATTTATAGGAAATATTACAGTACAATGGAGCAAAGGCTCTGGGGCACCGGGAACGCTGGGGCAAGGGTCATCCAGATCTACATCTCCTAGAAGTAATATAGCAGCTTTGGCACAGACACTGGGGCAGATCAAACCTTATCTGTAATGAGGGTGACCCTTTGATGGATTAAAATTAAAACCTTCAATGTTGTTTTATAAAACACATCTTTTCATTTTCTTGAATAGAAAATTGACAAATCACACTTTTCCTATGGAAAATGAAATTATCCTACCTATTTCACTTTTAGAAAAATTGGTGTTCATAACTGACAATTCAGTCATGGACATTTTTACAGGCAGAAATGTTAAGAGACAGAAGTGATTTCTGCATATTTTCTGAGCTCCCTTTATGAAGCGAAGAAAAAAAAAAAAGAGAGAAGAAAGAAATTTCAGTTTTGGAGACTGACTTCAGAAGAGAAAGTCACGCACACTTACAACATCCTTAAATTTGTAGAATACTTACTGAAAAACATTCTGAAAACCATCTCAGTTTTTTTCCTCGAGGATTTCCTGTCAATTTTTCCACTTCTTGTTTAATATCCCTGGAAACTTTACCACACAGCAAAGGAGGAGCACCAGATTCCACAGCACGATCTAACACATAAAAAGATTTATGCATGAAAATTTAAAAAAAAAGAGAAGAAAAAAGAGAAGTAGTATAGCAACATACAGAAAATTTAAACAACGGTATATACAACTTACCTGTATTACCAATAATCTCATCCCAGCATCTATCTGCTAAAATATTTATTTGTAGAGGGTTTATAAGAGGTGTCAATGACCAGAGTCTCACAGTGGAGTCACGAGAGCAAGATGCCATAGTAAATGGACGACTAGGATGACATGTTAGTCCTAGTAGAGAGGGCATTTAAAAATGTAGTCAAATAATTAAGTTTATCTAATAACCAGTTTGATTAAATTATAAGTGTTTAAATATTTTAAAATGCATTTCAATACAGCAATAAAACAAAATTTAAAAATACTACCATATACATCTGCACCATGATCATAAACTGTGTCCAAACATGTCCCATCTCTTGTGTCCCAGACTCGAATTGTATAGTCCCAACTGCCAGATATTAGAAGGTATGGAATTTCAGGATTCCACATCAGTCCCCGCACTGGAGCTGTATGTCCACTAAGAACATTTATACAAGCATCCTGTGTATAATCCCATATTCGAACAGTACTGAAATAGAATAAAAAAGACTTATGTCCATCAAATTACCTACTGAAATATGATTATCTCTCTACTTCAGCAATAGTCTAAGATTCAAATTTATCAAAATATTTAATTGCAACATGTTTATAGAAGTTTTATTAGGAGAGGTTGCAGCCAGTGCTCTTCATGTTTAGGATATGATACAAAATATACCAAAGACAATTCACCAGCATAAGAAAAAAATTCCATCTACCGCATAGTCTTTCAAAATCAGACATTCACCATTATCTTGGATGTCAGTGAGAGAAAGTAAGTTTGTCCATATGCCTGAATGAGTAATAAATTTCTGTTAGGACTCTCAAGGGGAAAAAAAATGAAAGAAAACCAAAGCAAAACTGCAAGAGCTATATTTCCTACAGCTTTAACAGCCCTCTAACAGACCCAGGAAACCACAGATCTGTTAGTCTAACCTCAGTTCCTGGAAAAATTATGAAGATCATAGTGGGTACTATTGAAAAGCATTTGAATAATAATGCAATCATCAACGTGGGTTGACAAAAGGAAAATCCTGTTTAACTAATTTGACATTCTTCTACAGTAAGGTCACCTGCAGAGTGGATGAAAGGAAAGCAGTGGATGTAGTTTTTCTGGATTTTAGTAAGTTTTTTTGATACTGTCCCTCACAGCATCCTTCTGGACAGGTTCTCCAGTGGTGGGATGAGCAGCTTCAAAGTGTGCTGGGTGAAGAACTGGCTGAACAGCTCAAAGAGTTGTAGTGAATGGGGCTACAACTGGCTGGCAACTTGTCACCAGTGGTGTTCCTCAGGGTTCAACTCCAGGGCCAGTCCTGTTCAATGTATTATTAATCAGTGATCTGGATGCAGGAGCTGAATGCACCATTAGCAAGTTTGCTTATGATAACAAATTGAGAGGTTCTGTTGACTCTCTTCAAGGACAAGAGGCCTTGCAGAGGGATCTAGATAGACTGGAGCACTGGGTAACAATTAATGGGATGAAATTTAACAAGTCCAAATGACAGATTCTGCACCTGGGACAGAGTAACGCCAGGCACAAGTAAAACTGGGGAGAGGAGTGGCTGGAGAGCAGCCCTGCAGGAAGGGCTCTGGGGGTGCTGGCTGACAGCAGGCTCAGTATCAGTCAGCAGTGTGCCCTGGCAGCCCAGAGGGCAAACCGCATCCTGGGGTGCATCAGACACGGCATAACCAGCCGGGCAGAGGAGGTGATTATCCCGCTGTGTTCAGCCTTGGGGCGGCCTCACCTTGAGTACTGCGTGCAGTTCTGGGCACCACGATTCAAGAAGGATGTTCAGGTCCTCGAATGCATCCAGAGGAGGGCAACAAAGCTGCTGAAAGGGCTGGAGGTATGTCCTGTGAGGAGCTGCTAAGGACTTGTCTAGTTTGGAGCAAAGGAGGCTGAGGGGCAACCTCACTGCTCTCTACAGCTTCCTGAGGAGGGGAAATGGAGATGGAGGTGCTGAGCTCTTCTCCCTGGTATCCAGTGGTAGGATGCATGGTAATGGTTCAAAACTGCTCCAGAGGAGGTTTAGAATGGACATTAGGAAGGATTTCTTCATCAAGAGAGTGGTTAAATGCTGGAACAGACTTCCTAGAGAGCTGGTTGATGCCCCATGCCTGTCAGTTTTTAGGAGGCATTTGGACAATGCCCTTAATAATTTGCTTTAACTTTTGTTCAGCCCTGAACTGGTCAAACAGTTGGACTAGATGATTGTTGTAGGTCCCATCAATTGAAGTATTATATTCTATTATCTTCTCTCCTTTAAACATTTGTCACATGGTCGAAGTAGACACCATGTTATCTTAAATTGTGAAACTCCCACCACAATTACACAAGTAATGAGGAAGAAATTCATGCCAAATTTCTCACTTTCTTCTTCCCTTTTAACCAAGCAAGTTTCCAATATTTCCTTTTATTTTCAGTAGTTGCTATCCCTGGTACAGCTAATTGAACAGACTACAGAATGAGGAAGTTAAAAGTTCAGTTTCTTGAAAAGATCCTTGTAATTCTGGCTAAACTTTATTACATTATTAAATATGTTACCAAAGCTCACTCATGGCAGCAAAGCCACCTATTATGGTTTCTCCAGCAATGCAGAGGGGCCATTTGATGGACCTTGCATCACAAAGTAGAATCCACAAGTTAGAATATGTACTCATGTGTGACTCCTGCATGCTGTTCCTATGTACTGTTTAAGCCTAGGTCCTAAACAGGTCATGTGAAATAGTTCTGAGTTTGATTATGAACAGGAGTGTTACCAAGTTCAATAAGCTTAAAAGACTGTTTACTTTCTGTGTTACCTGGGACTAAGTTATTCAGTGATCCCCTTCCCTCAAAGTGCAAGTCTGACTGGATTCTTGAAATCCCTCTGTAAGCTTATTACATAGCTATGATTGGTAATAAAATCAGAATATCTCATAATGACACTATGACAGAATATTACATTCATTAGGTCTTGCCTGTGTGAAATAGAGAATATTTACACATAAAAAGTTTGTTGTCAAGTTAGTTTCTTTCATGAATCATTACTCTATGAAATAATAGATTTTGCTGCAAGCACAGACATCTAATTAATGATACTGGGGAAAGCCACAGAAGCCAATACTCCAAACTTGCAATCCTTTTTTACAATAATGTTTTGTATACTCTGCAGACAAGTGGCTTAGAATCATAGAAAAATCCTTCCTCCTGCTTACCACAGACTGATGTGTTCTCCCTCTAAAAAAATGTAAACAAAACCAACAGAATTACCTAGCACTCATCAAAAGTCAGCACAGATTCTATTTCATTATATTTTTGAAAGACATCAAATAAGAGCAGGTCTCGCACCCATATCTTTAGACATAATGTAAATGTGTGGCATCCTCCTTGTATCATTACTGGAAGTAACAGGTATCAGTCACTGACTATACTCTTTGGAAAGCATTTGGAAAGTTGCATTGCTACAGCAGTTATGACAATTTTAGATAATGATCCTGCTGCCCAAATATTAAGCTAACAGCAAAGCTACAGCCTGAATCTGAACAAGGCAGAGATTTAGATTATTGTATTATTCACAAAGTTTTTAGAGGTGGCAGCACCACTACAACTAAAGATCTTAAGTTTCTCCAATAGTCCTGCCTGAGATTTTAAGTTTTTCAATAATTCAGAAATACACACCCATCATCAGAGCCGCTGCAGAGGATTCCTTCTCTCAGAGGAGACCACCGTACATGAAACACCTTTGCAGTATGCCCTGTAAAAACTTTCAGTGGCTGATCAGAGCTGGTTGCTAAGTAGTAAACACGAACATTTTTATCCTCACAACCGGTAGCTATCATATCTCTGCAAAATAAAAACAGTAAAATCCTCAGTCACAGGGATCAAAAGTATTTATGTTGTTTTAGTTTAAAAATAAATGTGTATTTTTCAATTTACTTTAAAATAACCCACGTATTTTTGATTCTCCTTTGTCTTTTTAGGATGTAATTATTGATAACCCAATTAAATGTACTAAATCAGAAAAAAACTCTGATAAATATCCATTAGTTGCAACAGGGAATATTATTTAGGATAGACTGGGTGTAATAGGGATTAGACTATAGTCTGACCAAGCACCTAACACACAACTATTAATAGATTAAATTGCTACCTAATTGTTTTTTGACAAAGACTTCTCCTGTTGTTATTAGAAATTATCTGCAAAATTAACATATATCACAGTGTATTTAGTTGCCTGCTGTGTAGTCAGCTTAGGCAGTCATTAAAAGGAAACCAATCTAAACTCCTCCTTCATGGTATTGAATGTGTGTATTTTTTCCCCGTTATATATTCAGCCAGATTTTTTTTTTTCCTCTCATCAATGCGAAAAGATCCTCTTTTGAAAGCTAAGTAAGTTCATTCTGGGCAATAAAATACACTACTGGGAATATACAGTGACTACAGACATATCCTACCAGGGAAAAGAAACAATTTCAGTGCTCTAATATAACATAAAATATCAATTCTAAATAACTCTGTGTTATTTTATTTGATTTAATAAGTAAATATTATAAATTCTTTGGGTCAATTTTTACTTACTTGTTGTTTTGACTCCAATCACAGCCAAACACTGCAGCTGGATGCTTGTATTTGTGAAGAACCTTTCCATCAATGGTTCGAATAATACTGAAACCAATTACAATGTAATATTATGAGGAAAAAGGCATTCTGAGTAGGCTATCCAAAAGTCAAGTTTGATTCTGTGCAAATAATGCAGATATCAAAAAAAGTATACAGAAAGAATATGAGAAATCTTTATTCCTACAGCCCCTCAACCACGAGACTAACTATATATTTCTGAACAAAACATTTAATTGGATTTAAGAGTTCATGTTCCTTCAGAGGGGCTGTAAAGATGTCCACTGTAGTACCTCCCTACCTGAAAGAATCCTCATAGCCCAAAATCTAAGTTTCAGCTATGTCTTAAAGGTAGAAATAGCTCTTTAGGGATTTAAAAAAAAAAAAAAAAAGTTGATTGTTTTCTAGAATTCATACTTGTTATGTTTGATCTGAAATAACATGGGTAGAAAAGGGAAATAATGAACAAGGATTTAAAAATGTACTGAAACACATACATGCAAAATTGTTCTCAATGGGCATTTGTAAGTTTTTACAAATAAGCTATTATACTTCTGTAATAGTAAAACTGCAATTACTTTGTTCTAAAATAGTGATTCCTAGTCCTTGAAATAATAAACTTAGAAAAAATTTTAAAAATTAAGACAGGCAAAGTGGGATAGCTTTTGAAAAGTGTCCTCCATGTCTATAGATAAGAAACGAAAAAGAATATACTTGGCTAAATAAAAATCAACACCCAGTTTCACTGAGTGTCTGAGACATTATTCCTCTAGTAAATATCTCCTTTATTTTTTTCTTAAAATCATGAAAAATATATCCTAACAACTACAGGAGATTAATATAATCCAAGTTTTGCCCAGTAAGAAAAGGTTTAATTTAATCCGTGACAGTACTGTCATAGTTTACTGACTTGAGAAGTGCATTTAGCCTTTTTTTTTTTTCCTTCCAGTAACACTCACCAAAATCCATCACTGCTGCAGGTTGCTATTCTTTTGGAATCTTTATGACTCCAGGCAATGCAGAAGATTCCATTCTTTCCATGCTTCAAAAAATGCAAAATACCTATCAATAAGAAATAATTCACTCCTTTTTCTCTCATCTATTGACTCATCTTTTTTATTTGAAAAAAGATGAAGCTCATATGGGCTTCAGCCCTTTTCTCCCAGTAAAGTATACTGTACAGAAACACATTATAATGAGTTCCCAATATAGCTGGGATATTAGAGAATCCAAATCCAAAAAACTGGGACTGAGGAGAGACACATTAAAACTGCCGTACTCTCCGGGATGCAAGAGACAAAACTGGGTCAAGTTGATGAATGAGCAACCCATAACTATATAAACCTGAAGCTTGAATAAATGTTAGTTATTTCTTGGCATAATGAAGTTAGTGGGCATGAATAATTGTGGTATGTGAAAACTTAAGTAGGACATGTATCAGGATGAGTGTTTGAGAAAAGATGTTTAGTAGCACAAGTGCAAATCTTCTGAGTGTTAGAACTCGGGAACTCCTGAATGTATTTATATGTGTTTTCTGCCTCCCCACCACCCCATATCTGTCTTCTTAACGAGCATCTTTTGTCCTCTGATGCAGATGCCACAGTTAATTATGTCTGTATAATCTGAAGATCACCACTGTAAACTAAGGATACACAAAATAGTACAAAATACTATAACACAGTACTAAATAGCTCCTGCTGCCAATAACAATTATGCTACTGTTTCAGCACTTGCAAAAGCCTGCATAGATTTCATGTAATACAAAGCAAGATTCTAAATAAGGCATATTGTTTCGTGTGTTGCAAAACAGACCTTTATTGGTCTAGACTTCAGGGACAGACGTATTTTTCTGGGCCTTAAATGTGAAAATACAGAATATCAGTTTAAAGTCTAGATGTCCATATACATTTACACATTTAAGAAAAAAAAATCAGCTGTGCTTTTGCTGTGTATCACTACAGAACTGTTTTTAAAATAATGGAGACCATTTGGTGCTTGATCATTCTTTCGTTACTCAGTCTGAGAAAGTAAAAATATTTCTGCCTCAGAGATAAACAGGCACCCACATAATTATTTATATAGATTTTTATATTATAGCACCTTTTAAAAACATATGAACTTTGACCCATCTTTATTTATTGACACTAGAAGAAATTACTAACTTACATTTCATATAGACAAAAAAAAAAAGAAGTAATCTCATTTTACCTCACTGAATCTGGTTATCATTTTGCCTTTCGGGACATCCCAGATGAAGCCACCATTTCTGGATGTTGCACCAGCTATGCAGTTTAGATCTCCTTTAGAGAAAGATAAATTTGAAACATCTCACAATAAATACAAGATCACAATATTGTTTGAGTAGTGTGTTTCTACTTCAAATTCAGAAAATGATCAATGGCACATAAACAAGAGTTTTTCACAGTTTAAAGCCAGCATTTGATAGTAAGTCACAAATATCAATTTCAGCAAAAGCCTGACCTGCTTTTCTACATTCTTATTTTGAGGAAAGGTCAAAATAAGAGCTGTATTGTTGTAAAAAGTATTCTCAATGCCTGATGAAAGTTTTGCAGTTAAGGTGACAAGAAAATATTGTCCATGATTCATATGACTCAAACTGAAAACCAAATCAAATCTCAATGTTTCAGGCTTAAAATTGTAGCAACCACAGCATTTTCCTTTAAAGTTCCCTGTGTACTAAGACAAATCAGGAAGAACATGACAGAACACGTAACAGTACTTTGCTTTCTTAATCTTGCACCACTGCAGCACCTAAAACCAATTGAGAGTGTAGCTCAATCTGTAACCACACTCTACAGGGTAGAAAATCTGAATATATGACTCTGTGGTGAGAACCTGAAAACCGAATTCAGGTCTAATCCAAAAGCCACTAAATTCTCCTCACCATAGTGACCCTCTATCCCAATATAGCTACACTTTTCCTAAATAGCTACACAGCACATTATATAAAAGTTTTGACTGTTTTATACCACACTTCAGAGGTGGAAAAGGCAATCTATACAGGAGGAGTCTAGAAAAGTACATATTTAAGATGAAAAGAGATTCAGGTAGGAGATTGATAGGAAAAAAAAAATAAAAAATAAGAGTAATCACTATGTTTAAAGGTCTTTTGAGACCACATACAAATGGTGGCATGAGTAGGATTATATATTGGGAATAAAGTACAAGGCAGAGAGACACTCTCTAGGAGAAAGGGATGTGAAAGAAGGAGAAGTTCTGTCTGGGATGGACAGAATGGTAAGGAATTGAAGCACATGTTTCCCATTAGCTTAATTTTTTCTTTTTAGAAATCAGAATACAAGACTTGAAAAACACCCCCAAGTGAACAAACTATTCTCTCAATGTGAGATACTACTACAAACCGAATTTAAATTTCAAACCAAAATAATAGAAAACATCATGTTTCATATTGCCATAATTTCCATAAAGCAAGACAAATCATCTGTGAAGAGGAACAAGGTGCAAGAGACACTCTAAAATTAAAGAAGTGTAAATTCATTTCACATATGCAGACTACATTGAGCTTCACATCACAATATTTCTTTACTGTCAGCTATTATTTCTTAGTTTAAAAACATAGGAGAGAAAGGCAGGCAGCTGAATTATTTAGACTTTTAAAAAAAGCATCTGCTGTCCAAAGAATTAAAACACAACAAGAGAGCCTACTTATCATCAACTACTGACATTAGTAACTATCAGAAACATACTCCCAGGTTCACCTAAGTGGGTTGCAGACCAGTTTTAAGAAGAAAATTTTCCACTGACTTCAGTGACTTCTCTAAGAAAAAGCAGATGCTTTGCAGAAAAGGTTCTCCCTATTCTAATAAAGTAAAAGCAGAGCACTTCAGTGATGAGAATCCTACACAAAGAAGGAAGAGAAAGAACTAAACACATATGTTCCACTTTTTCCTCACAAAACAGAATCTGAATTCCTTTAATTAGCTGCTTCCCATGCAAAGAAAACCTTCTCATCATCTGCATAATGTAATGCTGGAAAGGTTCTGGAGATTTTCCTTCCTCCATTCTGACTCAGTATGAAATACTGAGATCATTCCTCATAAGGGTAAGCCTCAACAAGGTCTGAAGAATTGAATTCTACAGGTTTCACCGATAATAGTTATGATTAAACCTTGTAAGATTTCTAACTAAAATTAATACTTTCATCACACAAATTCTGCTAGTCAATGCTTATTCAAAAAACATTTAGACCTAAAGCAAAATATTCTTACCTGGAGCCCAAGAAAGGGAATAAATAACCCCCTCATTACCAGGAGATGTGTAAACTGCTGTTAAAGTATTTATGTCCCAAACTTTTATTGTGCCATCAAATGAAGCTGTAGCAAGAAGATCAGGGTTATCAGGTTTGAATTTGCAATCAAAGATGGTCTCAACATGTCCCTTGAATGAAACAAATATTTAATCGATTTTTATTACATTTGATTTTTTTTTTTCAGAATTTCAACTCTAGATCAAACTCTAAAATACACTGTATTCTAATTTGTCAGGTCAATTATGAGTTCCAAAAAACCTGTATGTTATGGCTCATCAGTCAAAATTAAAAAGCATAAAATAGCTTGGACTATAACACTCCTTCCCTTTCATAGATCATCATTAAAGATAAAAAAATCCTGCCCCGAAACAACGGGGTGATGCAAGGCCAGGGAGCTGTTAGCATTTTCTGTTGGAACTGAGTTGCTAAAAAATAGAATTAAAAAACTTAAGCTAATAACTGAAACAAACCCAGAAAAAAATATTTTTTAAAACAGAATTTATTTGACCCTTTAGGTAAAAAGTATCTGACTGAAAAAAATAAAGCTTTGTGTGTTGAGCATGTTCTACAAGTTTTCTAGTATTCCATTGAGTTTTCTATGTTACTGAATACAGTCTACACTCTACTGCAGTTTAAACGTCAATCCATTAAAAATATCACATTCAACTGCTTGTTTTCTAAGACATGCATTTGTAGACTTTAACTTGATACATACATGAGAAACATAATATTTAAGAACTTTTTTAAGCCTCAGCTGCTTGACAGGACCAAACCCATTAAAAATGGAAAAATATCACCGGCTCTATTCAAATGTGTATTCTCAGCACAGCTGAGAGTTATTCAAGTTTTTCCAATGAAAAGGAAATGAGGAAAGAGGAAAAGAGAAAAATCCTCAAGAATAACAAAAATCCCAGTGAAGAGTCAGCTCACCTAATATGTGATAAACTCAGTTTTGTGTTTCTGCTTTAAAGATGATTTAATAATTCAGTCTTTGTCATTTTAAACTGAGTGACCTCACCGAGATGCACATATTTTTCTCTCTGATTTGACTAGAATTTTTATTCTGGATTATAGAAAACCCTCCAGATAATATTTCTGAGAAGGCCATCAAATTAAAATTTCAGTTAAAAAGAAGCCCAAGCCCTTAAATCTTTATTTATGGATGAAAACAGCCAGAATACTTCCAACAGGATGCAGTCTTTTGCAACAAAAAAATACTTTCACTCTTTTACATGATAGAAACTGTTTTACAGTGCTGTGAAGACTTCATTCTCCAATTTTTGCTGTTAGAAGAAAGTGTATAAGCCAAATAAACTCTCATTCCAAAGACAGAGATAAAACGTACCAAATCTCTAAGGAAATCCCACTTTTTGGCTCCCATGTCATAAAGCCCCACTCCACCATCCATGAAGCAACAGACAGCATGACCAGGAGGAAGAGAAAATGCTTGGTTTTGGGTTAAAGTTGGAGGAGGAACAGCCTCACTTGTTGAGGATGTATGGTGATTTTTAGTAGGATACTGTGATGAACATGCTTAACAAAATAAAGCAAAAGATATAAACAGATAAGAATATTTTTCACTTGATAATAAGTAACAATTATAAAGAGTAACATGCTTTGTATTCCAACGAGGTTAAACACACAAAAAAAGAAGAATTCCTGTATGGAGCCTGGCCTAGTAAAGTAGGACCTTATAAAGTGCTTGATCCTTTACACTTTTGTCTAGTTCACTGGCACCAGAAGGTATGTTTAATTAAGAACTACAAAGATGACAGAAACTTAGAGATTGACTTAGATATAACAAGATTCATAAACAAGATTTTCTTAACTTACAGCCATTGCAATGAATAACAATAAAAATTACACTTACACTTTTTCTTTGGAGGAGAACTTAGCACGTGCAAACCATGGAAACCAGTTTTCTTCAATTTAAAGTTATCTATAGGTGTTGTACGTGATACATTCCAAACACGTAACACACCAACCTGAGAATCTGAGGTTTAAAAAACCATACAAAAACAATTTACTTTTTTAGAATTTATTATCCTCTTTAATGTACACAGGGGTATGAGGTTTAAGGACTGAGTTAAACAAAAATACAACAATGAATTAAACTTAGAATCCTAAGAATTTTATAAGCAAGCACTGTCATCTCTGTGGTAACATCACTATTAACAACAATAGTTATTAACATTAGCTATTTAAACTTCAGTAGATATATTCTACAGAACCTCTCTCATTACAAAATATTCTCAGTCTCACTTTCCTTATTCATTAATTCAACCTCAGCAGTAACTAATGTCTATGGTGTAGACGAGAGGCTATATTTTAAAGCCTTCTAAAGATAGAGGAAGAAAAGCAGGGGATCAAGAAGTGACATCCACCAGTAAAATGCATTTTTATTCCTATTTGCAAAGTAACGCTCACATCTGTTGCTAAAGTGTGCATGAGGAAAACATTATTTAGTATAAAAAAAACAGTTTAAAGTCACTTTTTCATGTACTCAGCAAATACAGATTAAGTAAAAACTGCTCGGAGTAATTCTCTGTTATTTTCTACAGTTTTATGGGTTGGGTTTTTTGTACAATGCATGCATGCTTTTATTTGTAGAAATGTTAAGAAACAGAAAGATCAAACACTATCAATTTTGAATATTGTCCTATATTTATTACCTTAGTAAAATCAGGAAATAAAAGGCTTACCTCCAGTTACAAACATTCCAGGTGCACTAGAAACCCAGGCTAAACACTGAACAGATGCTGCTGCACTGGGAAAATTAAAAGTTGTGATACAGGACAGAGATTCAGAATCAACTAGTCGAATACCGTTATGTAAATTAGCAACAAGAAGGTAGTCAGTTGACAAAGGGTCCCACTCCAGTGCTGTAACTGGATCCTCTTCATCTGTTCCTTCAAGAGACTCTGGTCTTAAGACATGTTTCTGATTTTTAGAACCTTTATGGGCAAAAGGAAACATTATTTCAAAATGAAATTGAGTATATCTTTTCAATAGTTACACGTTTGTAAACATCATTTTTATCTCTCCCTGAAATCTTTAATAGCCTGCTCCACCATCTGCACCAGTGAAATTAATGAGCTGGCTTTGCAGTATTTGACTTAAAGTAGTTGTGGCTTCATCAGATCTGACTTTCTTTTTAGTAGAGCAGAAAATAGAAACAGCTGTCAGGTTTATTAATATAATTTTACACCAAAGAAAAGTATGGTAAATCATATACATTGTCATAAAAATTTCCATAAGTAGAGGCCTGCAGCACAGTCTAAAATACATGCCATTTGAGTATAAGTAAATCTGCATTCCACAGCAAATACAGACAAAATAAAGGCAGTATGAGTTAGAAAAAAAAATAAAATGTGGCAGTCAAAATAGTGTTTATGAACAACTGCCTTTTCATTTTTTCTTCCTCAAAACTACGTGTGCAATTATGAAGCATTCATAGATTTTCCTAGATGAAGCCACAACAGGTCTTTAAATATCTAATTGGATACCTGCGTAACAGAAGACATATTTCATCTGATGATTGATAATGACAATTTTTAACATTAAGAAATGCATCATCCCACAAAACATGATGTTTAGTTCCCACTTTTGTTTTTTTTCGGGGAGCTGGCTCTTAGTTTTATAAGATAGCGTACAGTCCAAATGAATATTTAACAAAATAGATCTGTATTTTTGAAGTTGTGATCTTGTATTAAAAAAAACCCCCTCATTTTATATTCCTTTTCTAGAAATAAGGAATTGACATCTTCCATTTACCAGTTTTTAATCTAGTTTTCAATTTTGATAATGAGGAATAGAATTGATTTATCACATTATAATAAATGCCAAGACCTACCTATATTCCTTAATGATTGATGTAGAACAAAGACTACTCCGATACATACTAAAAAGAATGTTGAAAAGCTTTTGTTCACTGAGGGACATTCTCAATATTGTAACAACTCTCATCATGATCTTCTAGGGAAAATGCTATTATTAGTGCTCACTATATCTAGGGTAACTTTATAAATCAATTACCAGAAATGAGGGAAATAATTTCAGACTGCACAACAATTAATAGCATAAACTGATTCTCATTCCATTTATGTTTGTAATTATGACAACTGTAAAGTTGAAGTTGTCTCCTTTTGAAGCATCAGGAATAATAACAGGAATAACATCAGAAATATAATCAGAAATATCATCAGACAGCTGCCTTAAATTTACCAGAAACGTTGAGATTCCTTCTTTCTTTAACAATGTCCCCTGCTTACATTTCAATTCAGATTTTTTTGCTGAATGAAAATCAACGTTCAAATGAAAACCAAGAACTAACAACAAAGTAGAACTGACATTTTTCAGTTGTCATTTTTCAGTTAGCTTTACAAGAACTAAAGGCAAAAAGTCCTCCAGTGATCAAATCCAGTCATGTTCAAACACTTCAGTCCCAAGAAAGCAAATCAACTGGTGGGAGAGAATGGATATCTAGGAGCTATTCAGTTTTACCTGTGCTCCACAAAAGAGTCCAGAAGCAAAGCTCGTGGAAACCCTGTTAAATTTTATTTTCCATTAAAAGAAGACATCAGATCAGCACTGTGAATCATGCAACTGAGTCACAGGTCATTTAAACAAGCTGTGCCTATTTTGAGAACAAATGAAAGGTAAACTACAATAGTACAGAACATTTGGCTCTACATGACTGCACTGTATTTCTTTAAAAACAGAGTACTCATCTGAAATCCTTGCATATTTTTTCTTCACACTAAACGTTCTGCTACATTAATGGATAATCTGGATTTAAGAAGAAAATTGAGCCACAAGCAAAAAACCTAAGTAGATAACAATAATGAAAAAAAAAAAAAAAAAAAAAAAAAAAAAAAAAAAAAAAAAAAAAAAAAAAAAAAAAAAAAAGAAGTGTGGTTTGCTAATTGTGCAGCTGGGACTCACATTTAAACAGAAAGACTAGAGCTTTCAGTGAGTCTACACTGAACTTTCAGGCAATTAACAGGAACCTGTGGATGTTCGGGTTCTCTCACAATAGTGTTTTGTAGGATATCCTACAAAAGTAAACCTTTTACAAAAGTAAACCTTAAAGAAACCTTTAAAAGTAAGGCATAGGAATTTTTTTAAAAATTTATTTCATTTGGTGACAAACTAGGTTCTGGTCCAATAAGAAGCTGTTTTACACATTCTGACATGAGGTAGATGAGGGCTGAACTTTGATCTCAAAGCAGAAAATTAGCTTCTATTTTATTGAAAAGTACCAACTCTTTGTGTGTGTGTGTGTCCTTGTTTAAATAGTGAGCCTGTAATCATCCTATTCATACCACTTTCTTCTTCTATGTATTGTTATTTTTGAAAGCTACCAATTACAAAAGTCAGATGAATTTTGACTGTAAATTCCAATCTAGAATCCCACAGTTGATAAAACAAGTAATTTGGATAAACCTACATTTTCAGTTATATTTGACTGTTAAGACACATATTAAAGTCATTTATGAAAGTGTAACCACAGCAGTGGTACTTGATTACAGTAATACAACCTATTTTTTAATATTACTTAATTTTGAGACATATTTTAATGAATTTATCTGTTCACCAAAATTTTGTTATCTGTTCTTAAACACATCTATGTTTTTATCTAAAATTTTTCATCTTTTTCTAATAGTGTAAAGAGAGCAAGTTAAAAGAAAACTAACACTGGTCTGCATTCTTTCAAATTCATTATGATTGCTTCAATGTCATTGTCTCAATTACAAGAATATCATCCTTTGAACTGAAATATTCAAATTTCTTATTGCATGCAAGTCTGGGTTTTGAATGGCAGATCTATGGTATTTCAACTAGTAGTTGTTCTTCAATGCATTTGAATTTGTTATACTCATTTATACCACAGAGCAAAATTCGCCACTTGGTTCTGTCAATTAATTTGTAAGTATACCTCTGCAGATCAGTGATTTTTTTGTTATATAAAATCAAACAGAAATCCTATTTGACTAAAAAGTTTTTTACACCCATTTCAGTGAAAGAAGTGTGTTGAGGTTTAAAAAGCACTTAATATGATCCAACAGAAAGTGTACTACTTTTCTTGAGTAATTTTGAGAAAGTGAAATTATTAACAGTTTAAAAACACACACCTGAAAAGTTCATTTTTTAAAAGCCAAAGTGCAACATTTTCTTTTTAATTCTAAAAAATGTATTGAATGAACTTCTCTACTGAAATCCAGGACTTTCAGTGAAAAAGTTCTTACAATTTTCACCCAAATGTGTATAAACTTTCAATTTATTTCTCTGTTGGAAACCAAGAATCTTACATAAATCAAGAACAGAAAACAAATTTTATGGTTATTTTAATTTTAAAATTATCTTAACGAATATGTATAATATTACAATAATAATGGAAAACTATCCTAACTAGAGAGACAGGCAAAATTTCTGTGATAATCGAAATTCAATTTCAAACTAATGCGAGTAGGTTTTTCCTCTGCAGTAATGAATAACTTGCAATAAAGAAATTTTTATAGTAAATTCAATTGTGATTCATACAAAACTTCCACTACTGCTAGCTTTTTTAGCCAATATTATATTTGCATTTGCAGAACATAATTTTTGACATTTTAAATTATTTTCCTACTATTTCTATTTTCATGTTCAAATCATTCTAGACAAACTTCATGAAAAGTCTCAGTTTGATATATATTTAGAGATTATCATACTAAAATAGATTTTCTTTTCCCAGTGCCAATACTGGTACAGTCAGAACTACAGAAGGAAGGGAATCTATTCTCTGTGACATCCTTAGTAGAATAAACTGAAGAATAAATTTTGCATGTCTGTTGGAGCATAATACTATGTAAAATGAACACATTATTTAAAAAACATTTTTTCTCACAAAGTTGAAAATCAGTTTTTACCAGAGGAAGAAAAAGTATCCAGAACAAAAGATTTGAAGTAGTCCACCTAATACAGATATCTGTCTTTGTAGAAATCTGTCTTTATGAAAGAGTGCTAAATTTTAGCTTTAAATTAGCTTATCAACCAGACATCTTCACAAGCAGAGTACTGAACTGTTTATAAAGTATGCACAAATTTACTCAGTGGATTTCAGACAAAGAGATAAATATTTCCCATATAGTCTTTGATAGAACAGAATCATGAAGATAATATGAAGCATGACATGATATTCTAGCTACAAAAGTGCAGAGGACTCTAGAACAAATGCAAGCAAAGTAACTGACTAAAGCAAAAGATTCAAGCCAGTCAATTCAGAAGAACAAACTTGCTGGAAAACAGTTCAGTAGAATATCATGGCTGTTGTCATTCCTTAAAAAAACAGTTTACTGTACTTGTCGAAAGTTTCAACATTATCTTGGTCACAAAAAGGAGAAGATACAAAGAAAATGCTCTGCAGTCTTTATCTAAGAAAACATTTTTTGCAATATTGAAGGAGTAGGAATACTATGAACTAAGAACAAGTCTTTATGTACATATATTATAAAACCTAAATTTATAAAGCACAGAATTACACATATATACAGAGATAAAAATATATGTATAAAAATAAATATTTTACCATATCAGTTTTTACCTGGCTGAAAAATAGATAGGCTTCCATCAGTATGTCCAAATACTACTTTTCCTTTTTTCTTTGGATGCCATCTAAAAAGACTGATATCTGACAAGAAACTATGTGCTTCTCTATGTACAGTTACCCCGCTGTCAGGTCCTGAGATAGTCCAAATGTACAACGGACCTCTGTGGGATACAAATGCAACGGCATCACCTGCGTTCCAGCACCAGCTAAGTGACGCAGGAATTCCTGAAACATACAGGTAAACCTTATAAGAACAAGGATATGAAATTCAGTGTGTTACTGCTTGACCCAGTATCAGCAACTTTCTTGAAAAGCTGTAGAAATAATTATTCTACATAAAAATGATCAGACTGAAATTTAGACAACTGTGTGAACATCTTATGGTGTAAAAGTATACCTATAGGCAGGAATTTCCCAAATTATTTTAATGCTACTTTGATGGGCTGTATTTTATGATACCTATACTTCATTAGTGCCAAAAACATTCACACTTATGAAAGGGGATAATCCTGATCCTGTAAACAGTACTTTCATTCATGCACAATTCCATTCACCATTATGTTTTACTTGAAGCTATTTGCTACTAAGCTGGTAAAATACTTTAAAGTTTAAAATGTCTATTTTTGCAAAACACAATGAAATTTAATTTAGAGATAAATATAACAGAGGCAGATATTCGTGACAAAATTGGAAAATTAACTCAAAAGAAGTCTGTAATCAAAAGAAACTCTTGATAGCTTTCTTCAGTATATATGACAGATTTAATTCAGTTGCCTAACACCTAACTGTAGGCATTCTAGTTTAAGGATTTTAAGCTCCAACTCCCACTATCCTTATAACTTAATAATGTGTTTCTGAAGAAATAAATAATGGTAAGACAAACTCAGGATGAAAATTCAAAACTGTAATTAGACATTTTAAACGTGGTAGTGTCATATTAAGCAGCATTACTAGGAGGTTTAAACATATTATCCCTAGAAGTAAATTAGCTTTTTAAAAAGTTTAAAATAATAATAATCCTTCTTTCACATGTAATCATTGTCTGATGTAGTTTTTTTAAACAAGCAATGTATTAAAAAATAAGTATCAGGCTTTACATTAATGCATAAACTGATAAAATATTCCTTAGAATAGATCAAATCACTGTGGGTTTTTTCCTACTTATTCCTTTTGCAGGATATACAAGATGTACAAGATTTTTAGAGGTATCCTATGTGCTCTGGAAAGAACAGAGTAGGGGGTCCCAAAATGTCTTAGAACCACCTGAGATACTGTTTCTGGATTGCACCTGTTTTCCAAGAATGCAAATGTAGGAGTCAAGGACACATGACAGAGACTGACAACAGAAACACAGTTACTGGTTTTGACTGGAGGGTATGAATCAGAACTGGCGGGGAAATGTGACAGTCACAGACAGACATTTAACCCCTACACTTCTATTACAATCTCCAAATCATCAGTTTCAAGTCCTCAGAGAAGATGCAGGTAGACAAGCATTAGGGTATTTAAACAAAAACTGGTTTTCTAATTCACTGATAATTTATACTTGAATCTGTTGAAGGCTACACTTTACTTGCTTTCACTTCCATAAAGTTATCATGAAAACACACAAGGTGTAAAACTTAATTATTTATCCTTTTATACAAGTGATGGAAATTTTTTTTTTCCTGCTAAACAATGGCAAAGGAAATTCCTGAATTGGTCATGTACTTTAGAAAAATTAACCAGATGGTTGAGAGCAATTTACTCAATTTACTCAAATACACTATCATTATTTTCTAAAAATATGCAACAAATTTGACAGGAATATTGTGTTAAACTTCTGGCCTATCAACTGCTTAGAGTTTACTCTATTTCAAGTATTTCTGATACCTGTGGATGAAAAGGCTGTATGGATCAAACAGATCTCCATGTCTGAAATACCTTTTGTATTGTCCAGCTTGGCCACAACTTTTTGTTCAGTCACATTCCAAACAACCACTAAGCTATCTGCACTGGCACTTGCAAACATGTCAGGATTGTGAGGACACCAAGATATGGCTGTGATTGTCTTCTTATGCTCAGACATAATTGCTTGTAGCTTGAATTCATTGTATCGGTGATCCAGCTAAACAAAATGTAAAATTCATTTTAGAAACATGTATTTTGTAAACTCACTTTAAGTACTGTTGGGTTGGAGAGTAGTTTATATAACAGTGTTAGACTTACTGATGAATTTATAGTGGATTTAACAATTGTCAGTACCTGACATCTCAATAAATTAAATTCTCATACATTTGACTTGGACAGAATAGGTGTCAAATATTCAATTAGCCCAACCAGCATTATCACAGTCTGTCCTCTTGTCACTTATAAACTATCATATTCCGTTAATAAGTGCACTCAAACACAATCCTAAAATGCTTTATATTTATAGGCATGGTAACAATCATTTAGTAATCTGCAAGGTTAATCTGCAAGGTGTTAAACAGGATAGAATATGAAAATGAGTTTGAAATCCTTATAATTTCTTAAATCACTTCAGAAACAATACAATTAGAAACCATACACAACAGTACAATTAGAATCAATAAATCAAATGCCCAAACCTGACACAGTAAATTTTGTTTATTTTAATCCTACCAGCAGTATAACTCATGAAGTTAAAATAAGTGCATCCTTTATTTCCTGACACGTTTCTCAGCCTGAAAATTCCACATCACAGCTCTTCTATTTTTTTGTTAGGCGTTGATGTATAGTAACTGCAAAGTTCAGAAAACCATGGTGCTGAGCAGTTCAGAAACAAAAAAAGTAGTAACTTGTTCCAAATCAAAGAAAGGTAGGCCACTGAATCCACAACTTTGCACAGCGGATTAAACTACTTCAAAAGACTACTTTCACACTACAGCTTCAAATGAAACCATGGAATTGCTTCATTTCTCTCAGAACCTGCTCTTTATCACTGCACTTCATTCATCTCAAGTGTTTGCTGGATGGCCTGTCTTTTAAGAATAATTCTTGACATATACAACTTCAAATATAAAGTTTATATCAGTCTTTTGCATTAGCTATAACAAGCAGAAAAAATAATTTGGAAGGGATATCTTGAATGGAAGACTGAGCTTTATATAGACATCTCAGCAGTAATCATACTTTCTACTACATGTAGAAAAACTTACTGAAAGGGTCCAAAGTGAGATAGGCAACAATGTAAAAATATAATTAGTCTGTTCAGTAAAAATAATCTTACCTGATAAATATAAATAGCAAGGGTAGCACAGTAAGCAAATCTGTCCCCACTAGCAGCACATACATCCTTGTTCCATGGCTGACATCCAGCAGCTAAAAGTCCCACTTGTTTAACCTGTGACATTTTTGCCTTTAAAAGAGAAATTCATTAGACTACAACAAGATTACAGAATGTTAAAGAACAGAATAAAACATTTTTGTTCCCATAAATAACATATACATATGTACCTTAAAAATATAGCTAGCCTTTATGTTTTAATAGTATCATCTTGTGTTTATGAGGTACAAATTAATGTATCTGAAATAAAGCCAAGCAGATGTTCAGACGCTTCGGTGCTACACAAGGCTGTTCACAGGAATTAATTTGGGAGGAAAAAAAAGTAGGGGGACAGCACGTGAAAACTTAAATCGTTCTCGATCAGCTGAAACTGTTCTTCATCACTTTCAATTTCTTCTGCAGTCTGGTTCAACACTTTCTACATCACAATGCAATGCCTTCTCTGCTCTCCTCTTCCTCCCCCACAAAGACAGCTGGACAAAATAAACCGTATGCTAATAATTCTGTTTTAATTAAGTTAAGCAATGTGTCTAAAAAGGTCTTCACACCACTTGCATAGAACAACTATGCATTGCTTATTATCATTATCCTTTTTGGAGAAGCTTTCTAAATTTTCTTAACAATTACTGTTTAACAAAAAAAGTTGAAGTAAACTACACCTTCACGGTCCAATGCAAGTCTCAAACTATCAGCTCTGCTCAGAATGAGGCAACAACTGACTTTAATGTAAAAACACAGGAAATGTTTTGCCAGTCCAGAGCAATTATGCACCTAGCTCACGTTTCATTCACGATATCAAAATGTTACTTAGAGCACATGAGCCTGGCCATTTTACTATGACCCATTTACATAGGTCAAACCCATTCTACTATGACCAAGAATGCACACATTTATAAAGGTATTATTAAAACTCAAATCCTGGATAGGTTGTACAAGATGGCCTCCAGAGGTTCCTTTCAACCTCAACCATTCTGTGATTTAAGAAAACATTCAAAATGAGCCTTGTTGCATTTATTTACAGCAGACAAGTAAGGAAGGCCATCAGTTTTCACAGAATCTCTGAATTCACTTAGAAACCAGTCTTCATGTGATACAAATGTTCCAGGTTCAAGCCAGCTATCAACTGATATAATGCCTGCTCCATCAACCTGCAGAAATAGTTGTGGCTTTACCACCACTATAGAAGGCTTCAAACTACAACTGAGGTTGATAAGGATGACTAAGTAGATCACAGTCTGCAACAGTGTGGTGATCTAAACGGCAGAACAAGGTCCCAATGCCTGCAAAAAGGCTTTACCACTTCTGTATAGAAGTTAAATCAATCCAAACAAGGCTCTGTGAGCATGACAAAGTACTACCCATACACAGGATATTTAGATAATCCATAGCTGAAACCTCTTCATACATATGACCTCAGCTGGGCTAGCAGCAGAACCCTAATACTGGAAAATAATTGTATCAGTGAGAGCTCCTGCAGACAAGAATCTTCTTGTACAGACTGGTGAAGGGCAGTTCTGCTGAGTTTCATCATTAACACTCAGTGCTTCAGCATGGAATAAGGTAAGGCCCAGACATAAAAATTTACTCCTCCAACTATGTTACAGAATGTCTCATTTAAGGACATTTTTATACTGTGCATAAAATAATGGACTAAGGGAGATTATATGGAAAAATATTACATGGAGTATGTAGGATAGGATTAAGGGAGATTATATGGAAAAACATTACATGGAGTATAAAGATAGGAACTTTAGGTCAGAGAGCTGAGACTATAATCTTCAAAAACCAGGAGAGTTACGTTCAATTCATGAAGTGTTAGGTATGTTTTCAAGCCCCACAAAGGAAAGGGAATTAAAAAGAAAAAATGAGACTTCAAACACAATCAAGTATTTTGAGGGAGCAACTGCTGATTAAGTGAAAGGGTTGGTTATTTAATGCTTTGCTGTGTAACAGCTTTAGGAGAGATATGTTGTCTGCAGATCATTCTTCACCTACTTTCTAACAACTATATGGAGAGGGAAATATTTTTCTGAATGACATTAATATTAAGGCACATAAAGAAAAAAACTTTATACAGGTATGGTAATAGTGACCTATAGTACCAAAGGGAACCTATCAGTCAGCGTTGACAAAAAGCTGATTATATAAATGGTATCAAGGTTTCACTGTAATGCATATATACATGGCATGAAAATTAATTTGAATGATCAATTTTATCTTCCATTTTTCTTATCTGCTTGAGGTATCTACTTGGCAGATAAATAGTAATGAATAAATATAAGAACCAACCGCCATGAAATTGTAAGTCTTTCACTTTGGAAAGTGTGAAATAAAAAATAAATTGAAAGAGACTTATTTTGAGTTCTTCTTTAGTAGAAGATCAGGATCAGATCGAATGTTTGGGACAGACCATCTCAAAAATATCACTGACTATAGTTAGAGTGCTTAAAGGTTCTGACAGTTCTAGATGCCTAAAGAAAATGAAACACCCCTGTTTAACCTCTGAAAATTTTGGTAAAGGAAACTGTACAACAATAGAACAGATATATGCAGAAAAACAAGTTACAAGATACAGCTCTGCTGCAGACTAGTGCTTTGACTATTAGCCTTCCTTTCTGTCTCTGACAACAATATTAACCTTCTGACTTCTGCAGCAAATAAGTTAGAGATTCTAGAGAGAACAGTTCTATAAATTGTACCCCTTAGAGGTTCAATGCGATCCATATTATGTCATAAATTACATGAGTCACACAGAAAATAAATTATTATTTAAAGAATCATCATCATCACCACAAAGTCACAAGAAACAGACTCCAGATTTCTGATTTTGCCATTTAGTGTTCTTTTTAGTAAAATTAAAATTCCAGAGGTCCCTTCTGTGCAATTAAATCAATCACATCTACTCAGAAATATCTGGATTTGGGGCACTCAGAACTGCAACACAGACTTTTTCCAGTCACAGTGAAAAAATAACTGGCACCATTAAAAATCACTTTCTCTAAAATTTAAGTCACCCAGGTGATTACATAACAATTTACTAAAACACAGAGTAATACCTGGAACCAGAAGTCTTGGTTTCCACTCTCGCTTCCAAAGAAAATGATGGCTAAAACACTGGATGTGTCAGCAAACAGGTAAGGAACGTTTAAAAAAGTCATGGTGAAGTAGAAGAGAATTAGATGTACAATACTGGATTGTCATAGGTTTAGTTTCTAGGTCTACCACATTAAAGAATGATTAAAAGTTAACATCTCTTGAGACACTAAGAGTGCATAAATATTTAATTGTAAAAACAAACTTATTTTGTACAGATCCTCTTTTTTTACCTTCTCATATGGGAGCTAAAATGTTCCTGATTTAATGAAGTTTAATCTGTAAGAAAATATTATCTTAAATCTTGCTTAATTTGCAGTTTGATTACAAGTAAAATTCATTGTAAAATTAAGATCTATTACAGATGCTAAAACAGAATTCCACAAATGTTTCTTTCAGAGTAACAACAGATTTGTCTCATAGGATTCTGCAGTAATTGTATTAAAAAAAAAAAAAAAAAAAAAAAAAAAAAAAAAAAATCCCTGTTAATGTATTCAATAGACCTTCATTTTTACCCTGATATGAGAGAAGGTTTTCATCATTATATGAACTCTAGTCTATAGGCAAATACTTTTCTAAGTGGCTGAAAATAAGGAGGTTTCCAAACCTAAGTGCTGAAATCTAGAACAAAAAGGTGCTCTACACTGGTTTTACAATTACCATGATCGCATCTAACAGACTAGCACTTTGGGTTTGGAGATAGTTCCACTGCTAGTGCTACTACTTCCATGTTTTCCATGCAGCTGATATACATAAAAGCCTCTTCATTGTTATTTTTTCATGTCATCAGGACACCTGCATAGCTTAGGGTATTTCAATGGTTTTCAAATGCGTATGTCACTGATTAGAATTCAGGCTGCATTAATCATGACCAGAAATCATTTCATCAAATGGCTGTAAAATTATTTCAGCCTAGTTCTAAATGTATGTCTGTAAACATTACTGGGTATGTCATATGAAGTACTGTATTTGAAATACAACACATTTGTCGTCTTTGTTCTACATTTACATTAATGACAAAAGGTAACTAATACTTCATTTTTTGAAGAAATTCATCAATAGAAGCCTCATTCACAAGTGTAATTTCAAATAATCATTCTTTTGATACTATTTTTCTTAGTCTGACATCCAAATCAAAATGTCTCCTAAATAAGATCAACATTTAGATTTAAAAAATGCTGCTTTGTGATATATTGTTATTTCACTGAGTTAATAGTTCATGCTTAAGAAGCATTATTAAACTCTGATTCTTTGTATCGATTTTTCCTATTCAAATATATGTTAAAAATTACATAGGTACAATATTCTGAGCTGTATTATAGAAAGGAATTTGCACTTTATTTATTTAGTAATATTTGGGTTTTTAAACTTGTTAATGTTTCCTGTTCCTTGTAATGAGTTATATACCGTTTTACAAAAAATACTGTAATTAAGGTAGCATTTGCTTTGAAATTCAATACAAGAGCATCTAGAAGAAATTACAATTGTGTCATACTGACTGTTATTCTCTTGTATCATGCATTAAAGCAGTTTCCTGCAGATCTTATCAGACATTATAGATTTCTGTTGAATATACTTATAGTACAAGGGAAAAAGCAGCATTCATCAGAACAGCAGAGTAAAAATGGCAGAAAACTAAAAATGCAGTATAACAATAAATATATATATATGTATGATTTCACATGTATGATTTCACACATGTTGCATTTTTATACAAGGCGATTTTTTAAAATAAGGGATGTACAAGTAATTATATCAGACTCTTAAGAATAGATGGAAAAAAACTGTGCATGTAAAAAACATATACCACATGGGGAAAGCTATCAAAGGATGCCCACAGTTTCCAAGGAGATGAAGGGAAGAGGGAGGACAACAAAACCTTTCTTTTCAATTGGTATGAGCAGCAACATTCTAAGTCCTTCCTTGTTGCTAAATATAGAAAAAAAAATTAAACTGAAATTTTGTATACCATAGAATAT